CGATTGAAATTCGATCGAAAAAATTTCAAAAATGACAAAGCATGAAAATTTTTATATTTTTAGCCGAGCTATTATTTATATTTATATGGGCTGCAATTACGTGGGTTGGACTGCGTTTACGCTATTATTTATTATTTTATTTTCAGATAAGTAAGAAAATATTCCAGTTTAGCTTTTTATTTTCGTTAAACTCTTCTAAGTTTAAATTTCAGTTAAACTCTTAGAATTATCATACCTTCAGAATATTAGAACACAACTTTTACTCCTATCATAGACATGTTTCGTTAGCAGGAATTTTTGACAGAAATTTTGGGAACAAACTTTCCTTTTAAATCTTCATGTTAAATTATAATATTAAAGAAGACATATAACTTATGGTAGAGAGGCTTAATCGTTTTCAAGTAAGATTTTTAGTAATTTTTCCAAGTTTCAGTTTTAAATGTGTGGTATTTATATGATATACAGCTAAATTTTCAATTTATATTTTAAAGTAATATTCTTACGAGTACTAGATTTTTAAAAAATAATATATAAAAAAAAATTACTTATCATAAAAATAGGAGTATGTATGTATTGTAAAACCCTTAAATTATAACAAAAGCTACTATACTCTATAATTGGAAATTCACAAATCAAGAGAAATACTTCAATCTGCTGTTATATTTCTTAGAATTTTTGGATTCTGGGCTTATAATAATGCATCGCGATATGATTTGTACCACAAATTTTTATATTTTTAATAAATAGTTCAGAATATTTCCAATAATAAATTTAAATTAAACAAACATTCCATTTTTATTTTATAAATTCTTAAATATTTTGTATATTATTTTAGGCTTGTGGCTTAATTTTTTTTCTTTTTCTATAAATTCTATATGCAAGTTTTATATTTTAAATCTGGTATTATAACAAATCCTATTTTGGTAATTAAAAATTTTATATATAGGCTTACTACAAAAAAAAAAGAATTTATAGAAATATCAAGATAATTCCTTATTTTTTCGAAGAATAAAATTTCATTCATATTTTCGTTTCAAAATAATTTAATTAATTTTAGTACATATTTTGTTTTTTCAGGAAAAAATATGTAAAAGAAATATTATAGATAAAAAGATTTGCCAAAAATTCAATTGAATATTTCATATATTTTTCCTATTTTAAAATGTTATGAAAGAAAAGGAAAAAAATTGAAAGTGATTTCAAATAAAATATTTATAAAACACAAAAATCCTTATAATTCTATGTATGAAGTGTAGTGTATATGAATGTGTTTGTATATGCATTATATTATGCATATGTATACAAACCATATTCCTCAGATTTTTCTTTTTCTTTGATAATTTTCCATTTGGTTTTTTTTTGTCTTCGGCCCCCCTAATAAGATTTATTGTTCCGATGGAATAAAACAATCGAAAAATCTCCTTCTGTTTAAATAATACTTAAATTCTTATCATTGTATTTATATTATTATATTATATTTATGTATTTTATTTATTTAATAATAAATCAAGTAAAAAAAAGAAGCTCTTCCTTTAATATTTCTTATTATTCTTTTTCTCAATATTTTCCAAACTACATAATTCCTCTCGGGTATATCATAAATAATCGAAATTTAAAATATTGATGCTTTAAATAAATAACACAAGAGTTTTGGTATAATTAAATACAAGTTTCCGGACCGGTCTGCAAGTCGTTGTCGCAGCCAGACGACTTGTTGCGATAGTAAGATAGAACCACTCCTCATTTCTTTTACATATCTGGTTGTCAGTAGATAGTTATACACAGAAATAGTAAATGAAGGACAACAGGGGTTCTATTCATAACAGTGCCGGGGCTCATTGCGGCTCCTTCACTGTTAGAGTGAATTTCTATTAGGGATATTGCAAAGAATCTTAGGTCTCTTGAATTGTATAATGTTCGATATCATTCTACTGATTATGGAAAAAATGAGCCAGTTACTAGAATGTTGCGTTGCATTGTGCTAATTCTCACTCATTGATAATATGATTCTACTATTAGTAAGTGTACTCTTACATCTAGATTTTTGTGTAATTTAAATTTATCGTAATTTTCTTGTTTTTTGTTCATTTTTTATTTGTTTATTTTTTTTTACTTATCCCTTTTTCTAGTATTGTTCCTACTTTTTTAGTGTCCGGTGGTCGGTATCTTGGTAGTCTTTTATTTTTTTTTAACTTGTCTTCGTCATTTTATTTTAATTATGCCTTTCTTCTTCTCCTTCTATTTAACATAAATCATCCACTCCTTTCCCCTCTCCTTTCCTGTAAATGGTAACGATTGTTGTTTGTTAACTGATAGTTGCTTAGTTGCGACTTAATAATTTTATATTTTTTTGCGCCTTTTGGCGTATGCTCAATGCGTGATCATTTTATGGCGTTTTTATTTCTTTGAAATTATCAATATTTTTTTTATAATTTAATTTTTAAACGTTAGTACAATTGATCTTGAACCCATTTTCATTTTATTCATGTGGATTTTCTTTTGAATTGAATTTTCATATATCATAAAAATAAATATTTTTAAAACAACAACAAATGAATCGTATGTAGTGGTGGGGGGATAATTTAATATTGTTTGTAAGACATTTACCTACTGGAATATTTTTATATGCACACATTATACATATATGCACATATTATACGGACACATGTGTTTAACAGAGAACAGTTAGTCTCTTTTATATATATATATATATATATATATATAAAATATGTAGGAGTAAACTTATAATTTTTAATGTAAATAAAACATATGGAAAATGTTTTGTTTCAATGTCATTTATATGTATGTACAATGTACCTAACAGCTCTCTTATATTTATATACTTATAAAAAATCAAAGAATGAAGACAATGTGATTTCATTGATTTCATTATGTGCTACGTATTTCTGCGTGTACGTATTCTTATTGTAGGTGTATATTGATGTTCCATATTGGAAATATTTTGTTATTTTGGGGTATACTAAGCCATAATATTTTATATGGAAACTGTTAAAATAATGTTTATAATGTTTTTCATTTTCATATCCCATTTCCAATTCGGAATCTTTAAAAGTATATTGTAAAAGCAACACAAAAAAAAAATAACCCCAAAAAATGAACAAAATATAAAAACCATTGAAAAGGAAATAAACCAGTAAACCAAGAAAAGGCAAGGACGTGTATAATAAGATAAAAAATATTATTAGAAATTTCATTTTACATTAATATATTATACATTTTGTAGATACATTAAAATATTGAAGGTTAGATCAGTGGTGAACCATTTTTATTTACAGTTTATTGAATAATTTGTATGTAATGGCAAAAGGGCAATCTTACATTCATGATGTTTAAGCGTTGAGACTCGAGTTTTTAATTTAACAAATTAAAATAATTTGAAATAAAATGTTTCAAATTATATTTATATTATCTGACCATTGGTGCAGTGGTTATGGCACCGGCCCTTTAACCGAAGGGTCTCGGGTTCAAACCCCGGTCAGGTCACTATAAAAATTATATTCAATATTATATAACTTAATATGCAATACTAATAAATATTATACAAGTAATTTTCAAATATTCATAATATTCGATACTAAAGACTAAGAAAAATAAACAATAAATATTAATACTCGTAAACTGAAATATTTAATATAAATACAAAAAAAAAAAAAAACTTCGGTAGGCTAGTCACCTACCTAGCTGACTCTCTATGACTATAGAAACTAGGGCATGATAGATATCATGCACTAGCCCTATACTCCTCCAAGGAGTGAAGAAGGAAAAAAAAAAAAAAAAAAAAATATTTATATTACATATATGTATATAAATTAATTTGGTTATTTATGACAAACTGTTCAAATTATTACATCAGTTTTTTTTCCTATCAAATGCAACTAAAATTTTTTTTCTAACAGATTCATCACAAAAAACTTTATATGGAACCGGTTAAAAACGAAATATTACTCAGAAAAAATATTATTGTTTCATTTTGAATCATCTGACAAGAAAACTTATTTTGAATCGGCTTTACATTTTTCATCAAAAATATAATTACTGGGAAACGTCAAACTAAAATAAGAATTAGAAATTTGAAATGTTCAGGTTTGAATGAAATACTTTTTAGGAAAAGTTCCTTTAACAACCGCATGAAATAAGAAACAAAAATTTTTCGTGTTTATTTTTCGGATAACTATAATTAGCGCCTAAGTTCGAGTAAGATTTATAAGAAGACATAGAAACAAAACAAAAGCGTTAGGTACAGAATTATTGGAAAATGGCATATCAAAGATTGAAATAATTAAAAAAGAAAAAATAAAATCGCGACATCTATCACCAACTTCATGTATAATATTCTCTCAAAATTTATTTCTTCTCTGTCAAAATTTATTACTTCTCTTTATATCAATAACGAATTAATTTTTGTTAGTAATTCTACTAAAATGTGAATAAGCTCGTAATTCGTAATAAAATTTGGGAGTGATGAATGCTTTCACGAAAATTAAGGATGACTTAGCGATAAATAATATAGGAATGAAGGTTTTTATCCTACATTGAAGTAATTTTATCCCACTGTGTATTTTACGTTGAAATTTAATATTATAAATTCTAAAAAAATAGAAAAAAATATTAAAATTTAAATATATACATATTTCATACACATATGTGCATACACATACATACTAAGAAGTAGAAATTCGCATTAACACTGAAATTATTCGATATTAAAATAGAAAATCATATTTTCTTAATTACCATATTTTTTATAGAAGTACCTATATAATAAGTAATAATAAATTAATATTTTTAACATAAAAATTATGTTAAAGTCACTTTTATATTTTATACAATATTAAAAATTTATATGTACATATTATATATGTATATGTATAAAAGTAATATAAAATAATTGTAAAACATGCACTGAAATAGAAGAATACAAAAAAAAAACAAATATCATAATAATAAAAATATAAAGGATAATGAAAAATAATTTTTACCACATAATAATAGGGTTAGAAAAAACATCATCATCAAAGTATATTGTTGCATTTTTAATGAAAAATAATTATACTATATATATGTGAGATATATATACATATATGTATATATATATCTACTTCATATATAGATAATTTGCGTATAACCTCGTTCTTTAATAATCTGTTTTTGCGTTTTTTTTTTTTAAATATTATAATATTCTATAGTATTTTAGTACACATTATCCTTTTTTGCGATTTTTTGTGTTCTTGCTTGCTTGCCCCCAACTCCTATATTTTCTTTTGTTATTTCTGTGTTATGTTCACTTTTATTTTCTAATTTCTATTGTTAATTTATACTTTTATTTTATACTTCTAATATATTTGTGATAAAAAGTCCTTGAATCCTTGTTCTTTTGATTTTTTTTTTGTGTATGTATTTCTTTCACTTTTTAAAATTTATAAACATTAAATTTTTTTCTTCTTATTATTTTTATGTATAAAATATGTTTTATGTAATTATTACTGTTATTATTATTATGGTTTTTATATTATTTAAAATTTTCACTTATATTAAGTATTTATTGAATGAAAAAGAAAATTTTTTTTTTGTTTAATTTTTTTCTTTTGTTGTGATTTTTCTATTTTGTACAAATAAATGAATGAAAATTTGTTATTCTTGTTTATTTACTGTTGTGCTTTTTTTTGTTTTTATTATTTTTATTATTATTATTCTTATTTTGTTTTCTGTTTGTTTGTTAATGTGTCTTATTTCACATTAGCATTTTTGTTGAGGAAGAAGAAGTTAAAGGAAACATTAAAGAAGAAGAAGAAAAGTTACATTAATTTCATTATATTTTAAATTATATACATATATATGGCCGTTTATATATACATATGTGTATATCACTTTTGAATGAAACTGTTATTCGTATATAATATGACATATAATATATGAATAACTGTTATACACGTACATTTATTTTAGTTTATGTTCATAAAATATTAACTTTTTGTATTATTATTTCTTCTTAATTAAGTGTATTCATATAATTTTATACATATGTAGATAGGAGTATAATAATAATAAGGTAGTCAATTTTTAATTATACGGTGAAAAAATATATGTTTATACATATATTTGGAAATTGAATTATATACCATCCATATATACGTATATTTATATTATATATAAGTTATATTTGAAATAAATGATGGAATTTTTATTTAAAAATTCTAAGATTTTTAAATTATATACATATATAACAAATAATACTTGTTATACAGTTTATTAAAGAAGAGCTTATTTAAGAACAGAGAACTCAGTCAATTTGAAATTGTAGGTTTTTTTTTAAGTGTAAGCATTTTTGTTTAAGGGTTTTTTAATTAGTTCCAACAGGTCAAATTTTCGAAATATAATTGGTTCGAAAAAAAAAATTAAACTCAATATTAAAGTAAACGCGTTTAAAGTAGCGTATTTAAAAAAAAAACTCGAAGGCGTTAAACAAATTTTATTTTCAATAAAGCAAAAGTTTTTGTTATTGAAATTATAAATTTTCATTTTTTGTTGCATAAATTTAGGCAGGGAACAAAAATTTAAAAGATGTTACTAATATTTTATGCCACTGGCTGTCCTAGTTGAACAAAAGTTGAATAAAATTAATGTTCTAGTGATGGTGTGGGAAATCTAACATTTCTTAGTGTTTGTATATGATAGAGGGTTTTATATATGGAAGGGATAAGTTGTACATACCAACGCGTACGGCCAGAATAAAGCTTTACTACTTTGTTTATTTAAATTTTGAATATCGCTTTGAATATTATTTGCAAGTTAATTTTAACTATTATGAATTTTCCTAATTAAAGAAATATAATTTTGTATTAAATATAAAATGCAGTCAACCGTACATATATTTAATTGAGCTGCCAAAAACGTGTTATTTGGAATTCAATAGTCAATAGAACATACCATTTTTGAACAAATGAATTGTACACTTATAAGAACCTCAAGTTCAAATTGAATTTCATATTGCTACATTTTTTAAAAATTACGCTAAACTAAAATATTAAAAATTATCGATAAAATGTTCTCAAACCCCATGTATATGCTTAAAAAAATATTTATATCAAAGGACATATTTTCAAGGATTATTTTAGAGCATTAAATAAGTTGGTATATATTTAATTAAATTAAATAATTTAAATTTTTTGTCTGTCGTTGTTTTCTATTGTTTTGTGCCTCTTTCCTCTGTTTTGATATTTTGAAATTTTCTTTTGTTCTAAATTTCTTCTTATTTTCCTGTATGTAAAATATATGTATGTATATGTGAGATCTTTGGTAAGTTGAAAAGAAAATTCGTATAAGTTTTATAGAAATTGTAATTTTTACTTTTGTTCTTGTGTGTATTGTAATACAAATAATTTTTTTTTTGTAAATTTTTATTATTATTATTTTGGATTCCTGGGCTTTTATTAATTTAACGAATATTATTGTGTAAGGATGTCATTTTAGAGGTTTTTTTTTTTGAAATAACATAAAATGTAGAATATGATATTTTTGCTTATTTCATTCGAAATTGAAGTCAAACAGAAAAAGAAACTTATCTTTTTTTCATATTCTATTCTTTAGTTAAAAAAAATAAAGGAAATTTGAAAAGTGTAAATTTGGAATTTTTCCCTAAAATGTTTTTGGTTCACTCCTTTTATGATTTATAAATTAAAGGAAAAAAAAAATCTTTTTAATTTATTTTAAAGAATTGAGAAATTCTTTTATTGTTTTTTGAGGGCAAAAGCAAGGAAGAAAGAATAGTATAAAATTGAAATTTTTTAGAAAGGATAGAAAGGAAACGAAATGGGCAAAAAATTGTCAGAAATAAGACGAGAGATAGATGAAGAAAATTTGAATTTTTTTAAATTACTTAAAATTTATTTATTTTTTATATTGCAGATCCTTGTTTTTTTTCTATTATTTAGTTTTTGGACCGCAACATGGGTCTCCTCTTAAATATATGTAAATACATATATTTTTGATAAAGGTTATATAACATTAAAGATGATTATTTTAGAACAAAGATTATTTTTTTCAGTGTATGTATTGTAAAATTTTATTTGTGTATGAATATATGTTTTTCATTTAAAGTTTAAAATTTAAATTGGAAATCATTATTAAATATGGGAAAATGGGAATGTGATAATAAAAGTTGCTTCCTTTATGGAAAATTATAACAGAAATTTATTTTGAATTATAATTGTAAATTTTAAATAATTTAAAGCAATTCAATTTGTTTTTAAAATATTCAAAATATTATTGAATAAATTGTTAATATTGATTTTATTTCGAAAATAATAAGATATTTTAATTTTATATGAGCTCATAATTGTTACCGTATAGTGATTAATTTCATGTTATAGCAAAAAATTATTGTGTTTCACAATTCAATTTTATTAAAATTTAATTGGGGTTTGGATTCAAAAATAAGTTATTTGGAGAGAAAATTTTTTGATAAAATTTTTGTGAGAAAAATCTGTAACAATTCTTGATACGCAATTCTTGATATGTAATTGCATTTAACAATGTGCAAGGATATAACAAAAACTTTTTTTTTGGATAACAAAGTAAAAATAACAAACGTGTAGTGCTATTTTCCTTACGTATTTAGAAGATATATGTATTTGTAAAACAAATTTTCCTTCTGAACTAAATATAGAAATTTTCCTAATATAATTACAGAACAAGTAGATGTTTGGTCAACAGATGGTCTACTTTAAGGAGAAGAAAATTATTTTTTTTTTTAATATGTATATCTCAACTCCTTCCTTTGTCCGTGTCGTCCATCTGCTCTATGTACAAAAGAAATTTTTTTCCTTATTCCAAATATAATTAATATTTAAAGAGAACAATAAATTAATAATTTTTCTGTGTACAAATGTTTACCACAATTTAATTATATTAATTTTTGTGCAAAATTGTATGCTATAAATGAGACCAAAATTATATAAGGCATCTGGAAAATTTGATTTATTTTTTTTTTTTTTTTTTGGCGTTATTTAAATAAAGTTGTGTGTTAAAATATATTTAGAAAATTAATTATAATAATTTTTATTAGTTGATAAAATATCAACAGACCGGAAATATTCAACAGTTTTCTTTTATCTTGTTCTATATTTTTTTAACACGAAATTTATCTGGTTTTTGTTTAAAACTATGTTGGAAAATATTGTCATCATTAATTTGTTTATTTCAATTCTGTAGAGTAGGTATATAGGAAATTTGATCACAAGCAGTTGATTCATTGATTATATGTGTATAGAAAACTGCATGGAAAATTAATAACTTGAAAATAGACCGTAACTGATAAAAAGTTAAATTTTTCAATCCAGAATTTATTGGATGCTACAAATTCAGTCAATATGAAAAAATATTTTTATCTGCTTTTACCGAACAAAATTTGAATTGATATATCGAATTTTTAATGGAAATGCATATCTCTATTTTAGAGTAATGTAAATGAGTAATTTTTAGTGTAATATGAGCAGTCGATCAGTCTGATTAATACTTTTGTAATTAACTTTCGGCTGAAATTATTGTAATGAAAATTTATTTGTCTATTTGTAATTAATTTTGTGTCTGGTCACTACAACTGAACTATTATTTTCATTGTAGTGAGTAACGCTTCAGTTGCATTGAAATGAATTGCTCCACAAAAATTTTCCGTATATTATCAAATAAATTTAAATTATATCGCCAATCTATAATATTATATATAATATTATATATATTTTTCTTAAATTATTTTAAATTGAAATTGAAATTTAATTTTTATATAATTTTTTTTTATAATTAAATATATAATGGTATATTTTATGCTAATTCTCAATATTTAACTGAATGAACATATAGCAATTAAATTCAATTATTTATTTTATGAGTTAATAATATTAAATTATAGGAATTTTGAAAATCAATTATACAATTTATAATATCCAAATAGCTTAATTTGCTGGATAATATCAACAGTTTTGAATTGGTAATTAAAAAAAATATAATTTATAAATTTTTAATTTGGATTTTGTAATCTTCTGAAAATTAGCATTTAAGTCTTTAGCCTGTGCATAAATTAATTTTGAATTAGGCATTAACAATAAAAAATTTTAAGTAGGTTTAAAATTTCCGTCCATTCTTCATATTTATGTTAGGTAAAATACAAATTTATTTATTCTATTGAGTGTGTTCGATAATTGCTGTATGCATGGTATAATAGTATTGTACCGAAAAATACTCCCATTCTGATATTTTGGTTCTCATTTTATAACATATTGAGTTCA